CCCCGCCGCGTTACGCTGCCCGCTGACTCACCCTCGCAATATCCCGGATCCTGATGCCGCCGGGCCGCCGGGTGCCCCGCGCGTAGTGTGTCCGTCAGAGAGGAGGTCGCGCCCGGGCGTGCGCGTGCCCTGCGCGTGCGCGTGCCCTACCGACCGACGCACGCCGCGGTCGCGCTCAAGTGGGCCCTAATCAGCATTGTGTGCAGATGCACCCCCCCCCCCCTTCCCGCTTCCTTTCCTTGTCGAAGAAAGGAAAGGGACAGTAGGAGTACGCGGCGTGCAGTGCAGAATATTTAGCGGTTTCCTTCGCTTTCAATCGCTTTGCTGCTGCTGCTGGTGCTGCCCGCTGCCGGTTTCGTATAGTAATTGTATGCGTGCATCGATGACTGCATAATGTCCCTTGGCGAGTACCTTTTTCCCGCAGGCCCCGCGGCGGGGCGGGGCGGTCCCCGACACCGACCCGACCTTTCTAGGCAAGTATCCTTTTCCTGGACGTCCGTTCCACGTCCGTTCCGTCCGTTTGCAGAGAGCGCGCGGCACAGCTTTCGTCTGCGATAACAACAGGTGGCCGACCGTCGGACCACACGGAGAGGGAGGAAGCGACTGCTGTGCGTCAACATTGCGCCCGTTATTTGCTCAAGGAAAGTTTTTCCTCGGGGTTGCATGGCGCACTTCCTGCGCGGCGGCATATATCCGGCAGAAGGCCGCAAGGAAAGGTCCTCTCTCTCCCTGTCTCTGTCTTCCACTGAGTCACGCAAAGTCGCGCTGGGCTCGGCGGCGGACCTGATGAAGTGGCCCCGCGGGCCGGGCCTCGCGTCCTCTCTTGAAACCTGGCGGAATGCTGTTCGTCACGCGGGAAATTTCAAATCGGCTCGGCTGCGCGGCGGCGGCAGCTGCTGGGACTTCCCCCGGTACGCGTTCCCGCCGCTCGATGACTGCCCTCCTCCCCACCTTCCCCCCTCCACTCTGCAATGGCGAGGCGTGGGCAAGATTTGCACGGGGGGAGGTGGAGAGGCGTTCACCCTCGAGAGCGTTGGTGGTGTGATGGGTCTGCCTAACTGCTGCGACCAACGGGGCAAATGGGGAGCCCTGCCGTTGTAGTAGTGCTGCTCAGCGAGGAAAAAAACGCATTCCCAGTGTGTAAGCGGCGACGTCGTTTGCGGACGTGCAGCTCGCAACGTAAGATCCTTTTTGTACCTTTTTTCGAATCTCTCGTCTTTGTAATATTGCGGGTCGTGGAAAAGGGACGCGCGCACCTTGCGCCGTGCGCCTCAGAGCGGCGCAGAGCGGGACGAAACAAAAACTCGCTGGGTGGTCGCGTTGCGTACGCATTGTGTGCTGCAAGAGAGGAAGAGGTGTGTCGCCGCCTGGTGAATATGCACGGACAGATTTTTGAGAAATAATAAAAAGTGAAAATCTTGACGGACGACAAAAGATAAAGGCGCGCGCGCGCGTCCTCCCTCGCCGCCGCTTTCGAAGGGACGACGCGACGCGTGCAACGCGTTTGGAGATCCTGAGGGGGCCATATCTCGTGTGCGTGTGTGTGTGTGTGTGTGTGTGTGTGTGTGTCTAGGGCGCGGGCATGTCGGGTCGGGCGCCTCTTTCTCCTCATTACCATCCGCGACGCGCGCGTAACCCTTTGAGCCCTGGTCTTCGTGTCGGCGCGGCTAAACGTTACAACGATACGCTCGCAAACGTTACGCGGCAACGACTGCCGTGGTGGTGGTGGTCGTTAGGGGCGCATTGGAGCCACCGCCGCCGCCCCCTTGGTCGTGACGCCGGGCGTCACCCTGCGGGCCGCCGCGGACTGTAAGAGTGAAACTCTCATTAACCGCCGGGGCAGGGGCGGCCGGGGCGCAGCGGGCAGTTTTACTTATCCCCGCTTCAGCGATAACGAGGCATCTGTCGGGCCGATCGGAGGCTCGGGTTATCAGTCTTTAATGCTGAGCTAGATTATGGTGTGCTTTACTGAATGCTCTTTGTCCGACTGCTGCGCTTGTCCGGAAGTCATTGCCCGCCCCGGGATAATTTCGTGTAACAAAAGTATACGTGCATGCTCGCGTATGCATGTAACCGTCTAATGAGATTCGCAATAAGAAACTATTTTTCTTCAAACATTAAAACGGAGCTTTGGCGTAAGCAGGCGCGAGGCATAAAAAACGCGAGTATAGTGGGACCTTTAGTTTCTCTGCTGCTCCTCCTCCTCTTTAACCCCCGCGCCGCGCCACGCCACGCCACGCCCGGAGCTCCTCACTTTCTTCAATTCACACGGTCTTCTTCTCCTTCTCATTGACGTTTGTTTGTGAGAGAGCGCAGGTGTGTGTCGCCCGCGACTGCCGGCTGCTGCTAAATATAAATCTGCTGGAAACTTTCAGGAAAATGTCTTTTTCCAAAAGTGCTTTAAAACCGGGACGTCGTTTTACCGTTAAATTGAACTTTGTCAAAAATGTTCGTATAAAAAATTGGTACATTTTTTAAAGCGAACCATAAAGTTACAATATTATTTAACTTGCATCGACAATTTGCCGCGAAGTTCAAGCTACGCCAATGCCCAATACTGGCAAAAGGTGTGCCCCGGGTGAGGATCGAACTCACGACCTTCAGATTATGAGACTGACGCGCTGCCTACTGCGCTACCGAGGCGGATGGAGGGGGAGTCCCGCGCGCGCCACGACTAGCGCCGAGCGGGCGCATCGATCCGCGCGCCGCACTTCCGCGCAGACGCGGCGCCGCCAGGACGAGCGCGCGCGGCGCGGCGGCCGGGCGACGGTGCTGCCGCCCAGCGGCGCGCGGCGCAGACGCGCCCTGTTCGCGCGCGCAGGTTTGAATCCGAACGCTCGAGGTGCGCGCGGCGAGGCGGCGCGCGTTTTTCTTCAAATAAGTAGAATTACAGCTAGTGGGTAATTGACGAATTTCATGGCGCCTTGGCACCGACGGGCGGCAGCGGCGGCGGCGGATTGTTAGCAAAAATAACTGGGTTGTAATTTGTAATTATTATCGACCCGTGCCTGGCGCTGCGCTTGCGCCTCGCTTGCGCCGCGCTCTGTCGGAGCGGAAGTAGCGGGCGAAGTGTGTCAGCCGGGCCCCGGGCGGAGCCCCGCAGGCGCCGGGCCCACACCGCGAGGCGCGAGGCGTTTTGTTCTCGTCCATAACTTAGAGACAATTGCGTTGCCGAAAAGCGCTGCCTCGCCTCATGAATATGGATCCGAGTACCTGCCCGGCATACCGCCGCCCGCGTGTTTGCAGCGCGAGTACCGACTTTCTTTTGGACGGGCGGACACGGGGGAGGACGGGCGGGCGGGCGGTCCCATATGAGTGAGGCGCTGGAAAACAGAAATAACGCGCCCTGCTCGAATGATACGACTACGGCGATCATTGACGTTGAATGTGACGTAAGGCCGGCCGTTCCTTCACTCTCGCCGCCGTCCCCAGCGTGTGTGTACTTCACCCACCCGCTACTTACTGTATAGTATTCACTCGGAGTTGTTTTGTTCATGACCCTTCACTCTGCTGATGGCGTGCCCAAAGGAAGTGCCCATAATGTGTGTGTGTGTGTGTGCGCCCATATTGCACAATGGAGCGGGGGGAAAAACCTTTTCGTTATGTAACGCGTATCTCATCACGTTTAGGGTCGCACACTCTAAATGGGGTGG